TCAACCTTCACTCTTATGACACATCTGTCCTCAGATAAACCACGCTGAGAGAAGACGACAGCGTTCCAGCCCCACCACGAACACGGTCTGTGAAAGAGACTTTAGATACATTTGGTGGGAACTAAGATGGACCTATTGTCCAAGCAGGCTGAGGTATTCTTCAAATGAACCCCTTTCAGCTGTGTGTAACCATTTTAGACACATTGTTGAATTGTAACACATTACTATTGCAGTGCATAACTTAATACAAAAACAGTTAATACAGAAACAATCTTATAAAATTTAGTGGGATCTTAGATTTTGTCAAAATAACTGCCCTTCCTTGCCTGTTGCACTTAAAATCTCACAGATGGACTCAGAATGGTTTCAGGTTAAAATGTATTCAAACTGCAAGAAGGGAACAAGGACATGTTGCTAAACTCCTACTGAAGTTTCATTTTGACAGTGGTGTATCTCTTTTTATAGATATAAAGTATAAAAAGTATTCACCTCCTTGGTTGTTTTTTGCTTTTATTGCTATAACTAAATCATGGTTAAAATTAATTGATCTCTTTGACAAAAAAAACCTCTTCGATGAAGTGAAATCTAATTTTTACAAGGTATAGCTAATTAAAAACAAATATTAAATGTAAAATAGGTGACTGCGTAAATATTCACCACTTTAAAGCAATTGTCTTAATTCAACTAAATTAAAAGTTAAGTTGGGATGGATACCAAAGGATTTTAACCCTCTAAGCATTGATTCCATTAAATCCATGTAAAGATGTGAAACAGACTACCAAGAGTAGTCCATCCTTACAAACTGAAACAAATAAGACTTGACCATGAGTCTTCCACATGCGGTTTGGTCTTTTTAAAACCAAGATTTAGATGCTTGAAACATGGTGAGACAGCAGGAACTGTGCAAATCAAAGTATTACGTGATTTAGCAATTTTGACAGAAAAAGGTATTAAACCGCACACTTACAGTTGGAGCTTAAAAAAACAAATAATCATCACATTAAATAATCTATTAAATAAATGAAGTTATAAGAGCAATCATTTAGATTAGTCTATGTTATACTGTATCTGTAGCTAAATTTGTTCAGAGTCAGGAGTTGCTGACACATCACATTGAGCAACGATTCCAAAGAAGTACACTAATCCTTTGGCAGACAAGTATTCACAGCAAAAAAAAAAAAAAAAAAAAAAAACGCTTAGTATGAATTAGCTTTTGGTTTCCAAGTCTAGAGAAAACTTGTTACAGGCCCTGTCCCATTATAGCGATTTAGACAACTTATGCTAAATTACTTATACAGGTTATATATTTGGTCTAATCGTTACCGTTACAGTGTGTACAGGCTTCCAGTTGATTTTTTTATACCATCTTTAACATAGACATATTCCATGCTTGACAAAATGTTCATAAATTGGCATAAGTTGACTAAATCCTTACCTACGAATAAAGAGGATCGTCAGAAATGATGATAGGCATGTCACGTAAATGTTTCTCCTGCGACAGTAGACCKTTAGCTCAATGACTTTAATCTGGTGTCCTTTGGGTATTTCTGAGAAGACCATTAGGCATTTATTACTACAGCCACTTCCTGGTCTCACTGGGATTACCACATAAAAGAACAAAGCCAGTGACAGGCAATAGGCAAACAAAATTATACACTCAGGAAATGGAGCCAATTTATGGGCTCTGATGAACACATATGACGCGCCAAGTTTATACATTAACACTGACTAAAAAGCAAAAAGATTAGAAACACAATACACACTTTTGCAAAGAGATGACTTTCAGCACTTACACTAAAAGTGTACATGACTCATAAGATAACTCAGAAAAAGATTAATGAAAAGTATAAGTAAAAAAGTAAAGTAATGGTCAATCAAATGTAAAATACACACTGAACCTTATATTTTGGCAATTTATTCAGCAATCTTATATAAAAACAGCTTTTAAGGAGTCCTATAAAAAGGGTTGACATAAGATTGGGTTTGGAGCAAATCCAAAGRTATTTTGAATACAACTCCATTGTGCAGCCAATCTAAAGTAAAAAGAAAGAAAGTGCAAACAATTGATGAGCTCTGAAAAGGAACTACACAGCATCAGCATGCAGCACACAAAGAAACATAATTACTTCTTACAGACAAACGAGCTGAGTGAGGCAACGACCTTTCTGTGTTTTACCCTGATTCACTTTTGTACATCATATCATTCCTGCTAACTTATGCTAATTGTATTTGACCCAAGGACAAACTGATGTCACACGTGGAAAACACTACGGTTCCGTGCAAATACTGCCAAACAAACAAATAAAAACACCTTGACTGGAATGGAGATGAGAGCAAGATATCCATAAAAATAATAAAATTAGTATTCTTTGCAGGAATAAGAATCACCTGCCATATTGCATGACAATGATTTAAAGGGATCCCTGATTAGTTGTAACATTAGGCTTTATTTGATAAACATTTATTTTAACTGTAAAATAAAGACTGTAAAAATACTGTAGGACCTCAGTGAAGAGAGGAGAATGTGTCGCGCTGAGCTAATACATG